CCCCCCCCCCCCCCCCCCCCCCCCCGACCACTCTTGGCCTCATCACTAACCCCCCTCTGACTTCTCCTCGTACAGGATGAGTGCTCCGCAAAGTACGGGTCGAGAATCTACGATGCCTTCCTGGAGTGCTTCTCCGCCCTGCCCGTGTGCGCCATCTTGTCCCAGAAGGGTCAGCTGGAGAGGTAAAAGGCTAAACCTCGCACGAAAGGCACCGTTGGAACAAGTACAGTACACGGATAGTCATTCATGGATCATCATCAAAGTCCAGTGCTATCAGGCTGGTGTTGTTGTAGGACCATTATCAATATCCAGGAAGGAACGTAAGAAGAGGAAGGGGCCCCGTGTGGATATATACCTGTGTGCCTGTGTAACGAACGTCTGCGATGAAAGCACAACCCGAATCTCGAGGACGGGAAATGTTTGTTGTGATGGTTTAGCGGTCGACAACGGCGGTAGTGTAGCAAGTGTAGGGGCAGGCATAGGCATGTACCGTTCGACGTTCCGACAATGTATTGTGCGCTCGGTCAGTTAGGGCGAAGTCTTTCCGTCCCGACCGTGAGTTATTGCCCGGCAAAGTTGCACTTCTCTCTCCGTGTTCATGAGTCCAACATGCCCCCCCCCCAATCCCGGCTTTTGAGGCATGCGAGGTCAATGGTCTTATAACGACTACGGCTTGCACGGCTATGGGTACCTCCCCCATCCCAGGTTGTTTCCCTGAAATACAAAAACATTGAAACGCGGCCGGCTCGTTACGCCCACAAATAAACAAATAAACAGTCTGTTCTGTGTTCATGGAGGCATCTCCCCCCGGCTGAAGACGGTCAACGACATCCGACGGCTTGAGCGACGAGTGGAGCCGCAGGAGGGGACTCTGTTGGCGGACTTGCTGTGGTCGGACCCTAGCGACGACCCCTCCGTGAGTTACTCAGTCCTGTGCATGGATACGCTGGCGGCTCGGTTGTTGTTTGTAGTTTTGTCGATGCTGGTGTGCTTGTGTGTTGCTTTCTGTCTGTCTCTTTCTCTCAATGTCCATTTCTCGTTGTTTTGGTTCGTTTTTTTCAGCTGACCGTGTTGGTTTGGGCAAGGTTAGCCTCGTCGAACGTTATCCTCATTCCGCCAATGGCGTGAGTGGACTTCCCCCCACCCACCCGTATTGCTACTCAAGTCAGCCTTTTCCCACCGGTCCGACAGTTTTCCGGCGTAGCCTTTCTGGGGGCATATCTGTACCTTACATAGCAGCCTTCTCCCAACAGATTGCCTGCCTGACGAGAAGACGAGGCCCAGACTTGAGATTTTTCACCATGGGAGAGTCTCCAGGTTTCTAGCCTAGGAGTACGTGTACATGTCGTCCGGCGAGATGGTCACGGAACGTAGTTTGTGCTACTCTACTGCTGTAGGCCCGCGTGAGACTCGTGTTTTTTAAGTCTTCATGCCCGAGGGAAGCTTGGATGCGTGCGCAAGCACAGTGCCGATAGCAACAAAGACGATTGATTGGCTGTGTTGTACCGCCGTGATATGTAGACAGCAACAGAACAATAGACAGATGCGCGGAGTGGCGTTATGTACGGCCCCATGGAGCTGGCTCAACACGATGATCCAACCGCGCGGTTGTGCCCTCCACAGGTTGTCCGACGAGCGGCGCTTGGTGACTGCACCAACGACGTCAACTTGCCAGCAGACCCAGCAGCTGCTGCAGCTGCTGCGGCCGGGGGGGGGGGGGGGGGGGGGGGTGGTACCGCCAACGGCGGGTCAACGAGGGATGACGTCGGCTTCATGCCGAACGTCGTTCGTGGGTGCTCTTGGAGCTACGAGTGGAAAGCCGTGGAGGCTTTTTTGAAGGAGAACGTCTTCCGAGGCATCCTTAGGGCTCACTCGGTTCAGGTGGGTTAGTTAGGGGCTCCGTGAATGTAGTTTGGCCTTGGCTTTTACCGCGCTCAACGGCTCGCCCGGTTCAGGTGTGTGTTGGGTTGAGGGGGCTGAGTGGATGTGTTTTGGCCTAAACTTTTACCAAGAATTGCACGTGGTGCGTCTACGCGGTATATATACCAGTAATTGATGCTGCTTGAAGATGCACAAAGGCACACAACAAATGCCGACCGTTCGTGGACACCTGGTGTTTGCTTATGGTCGCCCCCCACCCCCCTGCAACCAAGACACAACAAATAATCAGCATTTTCGCCCACCAGAAACAAGTGAAACTCTAGCGGGAGAAAATCATCAGTCGGGGCTCAAGTTCCCAGCCCGACCCGCTTGTTGGAGAGGAAATATATGTATGAAGGCAGCAACCAGATGGAAGGCAAATGCTATTTTTTGGAGGGAACCCTGAGTAACGTGGTCAGCGTGGGCAGTCAATCGCGCAGTCTCGACGGCACTGTCGGTTGTTGGCGAGTAGCAACCTCGTCGCCTGGCGTCCCTCGATGAGAACCGCTTGCAGGAAATTTGCAGGGTTTTTTCGTGTTATGTCCACATGTTGGATAAAGCATGCAATAGGGCAAGTTGGGTCAGGGTCAGGGTCAGGGTTAGATTTAGGAAATAGGATCTGCGTACCCCCTCCCTGTTGTGTTGCCTCGATAAACTTATTGGTCGCGCGAAGGTGGTCCAACGGTTGCCGTGGGCTACATGGAGATGCCACAGTCCCCGACCCGATTGTCATATCTAAGGTACCCCACCGCGAACAGGATGCCATCAACCGCTACGATTTTGCGTTTTCGGACAGCGCTTCTTGATGAAACGGTTCCAACGACGCCATTTTCAGCACCGCCTCTGTTTGTTGCTGCAGAGTATTGATCTCGTTATACTCAACCCCCCCGTGTCGTGTTTGCCATCGGGGTTGGGTTTTCGTCGCTTGGCAACGACGTTGTAAAACAAGCCGCCCCCCCCGGTGTTTGCCATCGGGATTGGGTTTCGTCGCTTGGCAACGACGTTATAAAACAAGCCAATTCACTTCGTGAACTCGGCAACCAGGTTACCGTTTTTTTTTTTTACCTCCGGTTTTTTTTTTTGGCGGTAACCATAATGGTGGTCGAGTAGATCATGTTGTGCGGGGTCGAGAACCCTCACTCCGCGCAAGGGGGATGATCGCACCACGTTGTGTTGAAATGGTCAAGCACCCTCGAGGCAGTTACACAGTGCTTACAACTGTCTCTGGAAGTGAAAGCACCAGAAAATAAATTAATTCATACGCAGCTGTCATCCGTACGCAAGGAAGTAAGCACAAGATGCCGAACACCCTTAGCAGGATGCAGCGCACCCTTCATGCGACTCGCCGAATATCTCACGGCGCTTCGCGCTTGGTGATGTGAGAGCCTGGTCCGGTGAGAACCCGGCGTGCTCCGTCCCGGCTTTGTAGGGATGCGAGGTCAATGGTCTAACGACTACGGCATGCACGACTATGAGTACCCCCCCCCCCCCGTGTCGTTTCAAGGGGTTGATCGTTTGCAGGCTCGTCGCTTGTCGTCGTTGTTGTTGGTGGCAATTGCCACTGTTTTGTCGCGATGTTTGTCTCTCTTTGTCTCCCTCAGTCGCTTGTGGCATGTCTCTTGTTTCTTGTTTCGCGTGTCTTGACCGCTGTCTCTTTTCTCTTGCCCGTGCCCCTTGTCCCTCATTTCTTGTCTCACGCCTCATGTGTGTGTGTCTCTCTCTCTCTCTCTCTCTCTCTCTCTCTCTCTCTCTCTCTATCCATGTCTATGTTTCCCACCGTCAGGGGGAAGGCTTCCACCACCACTTCCAAGGGCAGTGTCCAGAATCGAACATCGGCGAGGGTGTTTCGACCGTCTTTTCCGCCCCTGGGTACACGACTCACAGCAATCGAGGAGGCGTGCTGGTGGTGAAGGGGGACGGGGGGGTCGATCCCCAAGGGTACGACGCGACGCCCGAGCCGGTGGTGGTCAACAGGTGAGGGTGGTTGATTGTTGTGGTTGTGTTCTTGATGATGCAAACGAAAGCCTGGCCACCAACCCCGTTTTCCCCTGTTTCTTGTGCTCCAAACCTGCACAGCGTCCGGGCTGCCGTGCAACGAGCTTGCCCGTTCATGCCCACCTCGCTGGGAGAGTGGGCGGATTTGGACACGGATCGGCTGTGGTCGTTGTCGTCATTACCGCCCGCATTGTCGGCGGCGAGCCGGCGGCAGAGGCCCACCGCAAGTTTTGACGACACCGAGGCGTTGGCGCTGAGGGCTTTGTGGGAGGTAAAGACCAAGGGTCTAGAGCGTGTCGTGATTTTTGCCCGAACGCATTATCATCGTTGACGGCGACGCTTCCGTAGAAGATGGCGGTGTGTGCGACGCTGATCTCACTTTTCGGCAGCGCACAGCAGCGTTGTGCCCACTTGGTTTGTTGACGTGCCCTCTCGGGCGAGGTAAGCTAGGCCTCGACCTACAGATACTTGGACCGACTAGCAACCCATTATGTCTTTGTGTCACTTTTTGAGGGATATGCGCATTCTTCGAACAAACCCCTTGACCATTTGTGCCCTAGGCGTGGAAATGTTTTGGTCCCCCGCACGTCTTTGACGCGAGAAAGTTGGTAGTTGTTTATTTTGAAAGGCCAACCCACAACGGCGTTCCTCTTCAGGGTAGGGTCAAGCGGTACATCAACCGACTGTGATACATGGCACAATTTCAACGGAAGAAATCGCGTTAGCGGAGAGCGCAGGGGTGTTGCGTGAAGCTAAATATTGCTGGACATGCATGTGCCTAGAACAGTGCTCGTTTCGTCTTCAATGATGTCTTGGGCCCATTTAACAGACAACGAATACGGAAACCTGCCCATTCGCCGCCCCCCTCGCTCTTCCCCCCTTCATGTATATCTGGCGCTAGCCACGTTCAGATTAAGACAAACATTGTCACCACGCTGCCATTTAGACATTATTATTTTTTTTTTGCTTCGATTCATGGGTCGAGAACAGGCGCCCCTGTTTACTACTTCGAAGTATTAGCTTTGGTGCTTGTTTCCGGCTGAACAATATGGCCTTCGTGCCCCCTCCCGAACGCTTGCTCTTGGTGAGCGAGGCTATCCCTAGAGCAGGGCAGAATACCATAATCTGGGCGACGTTATTTAAACCTGGGGCACCTGTGCCACCTTCCTAGCAGACAATGACGTCCTACAACTCATCGAACTTCGTCCGATCGCTGTTTTTCACCCACCCTCCCCGCCACCCGCCTGGCCGCAGGCAATGTGCGGGGGAGGCGGCGCAATCACTGCGGACTCCCTCTTCGCGTTCGACGATTCCTTCGGAGAGGGCACCGACTGTCTCCACGCGGCGGCGGTGTTGAGAGCCCTAGCACCGTCGGGGCGACGAGAAGCCCACGCTTGTGAGCCGGCCATGATGGGCGATTTTCTGCGGGTCGCGGGAGCACTGAAGGAGATGAGTTGCGTGGGGAGTTCTCCGGAGAATGCTTCGGGGAGATCTACGGAGATCGACGTCGTCGTGGAGAGTTCTTCGGAGAACGCCGTCGTGGGGAGGATTTCTCCGGAGAATGCGATCGTGAGGAAATCTCCGGAGAACGCGATGGTGGGGAACTGCTCTCCGGAGACCGCCGCAGGGAACTCTCCGAACGCGGCGATGAGCGTTGGGGATGGCACGCCCCCAGATTCCCCCGCAACGGTAATCGCTACCCCGCGTTGGAATCGACGGTTGGGGGGTAATTTGATGCACGCCTCTGTTTCGCCGGGGAGTCCGTCCGTGGGAGATTCCTGCGGTCGGGACCAGGGGCTGGGGATTTCTCCGAAGGAGATGTCGTTGAGTGATTATCCGGACGACCCGTTGAGGGCGTCTCTGGATTGGGACTGGGGGGTGATAGCCCCCCCCGCCGGGAGCGATCCCAAGACCCCTTACGTCTCGACCGAGTCGACCTCTTCTTCCAGCACGAGAACCACGAGCACAAGCAGCAGCAGCAGCAGCGGTAGGAGTAGCCGCAGGAGGAGAAGAGGCAGTAGCAGCAAGAAGCCAAGACGACGGAAGGGGAAATCTTCCACCCCGAGGACAGAAGCAACGGCGGCCTCGCTCAAAGAAGCAGCGGTGGCGGTTGCGGCGCCCGCACTCACGACCAGGAGGGTGTCGACCGCGAGCTACGTGACCCAGCTGGGTTTGGCCTTGCAGCAGCTGGGATGTCCCATGTAGTTGGTGGTGTGTTCGCAGGAGAAGGGAAGATCACGTGTGGGTTAGTATTTCCGGCATTGCTTCCGCTGTCCCACGTCGCGCTGTCGCTTACCTAATGGTGTGCGTCCCGCCGATGGTGGGTTTGTGTTTGTCCACACAGGTACGTATTGAGTTTCGCCACCTCATAGGTATGAAGGCTGTCGTAGTAGTGGTTGCTAACCGGGGAAGTCCTTTCCTGTCGAAAGGGGGAGGGGGGTCGGGAAAGCGTTAGTGTGTGATCCATCCGCAGACATTTTTCACAAATTGGGTTGTTGTTCTCGCCTTCTGCACATATCGTGCTTCGCCCGGGCGGGGGGCACGGCAGATGTTGTCATTGCGTAGAAGACGTACTGCCTGCTCCTCATCGAGGGCTCGCACGAATGTGTTCGTGAAGGCTTGCATTGCTGGTGAGTCATCATGTCTGTGGGAACAGCAGCATTTAGAACCACGCTCCGTACGAAGCTATATAGTTGGGATACTTACGAATCATGACAATACCGAATGGTCTTGTGATTGGAAACAAAGTGCTTTGGGTTGGATGTAAAAAGGGATAGCTTCGTTTGAGAAAGTCCCTTCACACTAGGTGAGGGGAAACATGCATAACGCGGATCGGCCGATCGTGCAAACAAGGTTCAGAAGAAAGCGGGTCGGGGGATAACTGGCTCCGGAGGGTTGTTGGGCAACTGCGAAGACAACCATCCCTGTCGATGATGGTTTGTAGCGTTTGCCGATCGACAAGTAAGAGCGCGCCTTCAGGAGGTAAGTTCAGTTGGCGGCGTCCATAACCCTATCCCCATATAAGTAGGTATGGTGTAATGGTGGGCATGTCTCGTACCCGATTGCGTTCATTCCAGGATCATAGGGAGACTTACGTCAGTCGACATGCACCTTGTGGTGTGGGTATGCATGTAAACTGTTTCGCTCATCAGTCGGGTTCGCACACCGAGGTATTCCACCTGCGGTACTTGCTTGCTGCCTTCGATTTCATGTCGGGAATGGTTGAGTCTGTCTTTTCCCTCTTGAGTTGGTACGCACGACTTTGCGCCTTGCACTCCGGGAGGTTCCTTGAATAGTTTTCAATCGTGGCGTCGAGCGTCGTTTCTGAAAAAATCTCCCAACCGGCTGGAATCCGCCCAGCGAAAGGCATCCGCGCAGCCAAGAAGACGCGATTAGCCCCTTCTCTCTGGGCGTATCAACGGACGGCGATATCCTTGGGGCGTCGGCCCCTTCTGTCTACCGTCTCAGACTTTGAAAAATATTAAACGGAAAAATAGAGTAAACCCGGGTATTGAGGAACACCGCCCCATTAAGGAACACTTTTTTTAGACTAATAGTCTTAACCAGAAACGGGTGTACCCGGGTACTTTAATCACCACTTTAGGGTACAGTTTGAAATCAACACGCTTGCACCCCCAGGCTGTCAGCTGGTTGGACGAAACACCATTGTACCATTTCTGAAGAAATCTCCATCCGGTACAACTTCCACTGGAATTAGGACCCTCTGGTGTGACCGATATTGGTTACTGGTGTACCCGGAAGAGGTCAATTTTGTACCCAGAAATGGTCATATAATCCCGGCGCCCGACGCTCTACAGTGCCGGAAAGTGTGAGCCCAAATACGGGTGCTTTGAAAAAAAAAAGAACCTTCTCCAACAAATTGAGCGGAACCAAAATGTTCGTGAGAAAGCTCTCGCCAGCAGCGATCGAATAAGCCTATCCACTTTTTCTCCCTTCTTCCCCTCGCTCCTCGACAAGCTTTTGCTTAGAAATGGGTTGTAGTGAAGGGGGGGGTCTTTCTGGCGAGCAGGGCTAGACTCACCCTCAAGGGATGACCGAAACCTTCTTGCTGCTGCGCATATCCGCCGCGAGGCATGCGCGTGGTGGTGTAGTTGGGTCGGCACTGATGGGGTCAG